GGGGGGGGGGGGGGGGTCACTCGGCACCAGCAGCCCTTCGCAGGCAGGCCACGGCGCGGGGAGAGGGGTGGGAGCTCAGGCCACTTCCATCACCCAGGAAAACACACTGCCTTGTACTGTTAGCTGGGGTCAGAAGCAATAAAAAGACATTTTTTAAGACCAAACATCCAAGGTTTTGGATGTCGTGGCCACCAGCTCAGTGGCCAGCAGGCAGAGGTGAGGCCTGTGTTTGGGTTCAAAGAAGCAGCACGGCCCAGAGCAAATCCTCCAAATGCTCTTGCTGACCTTGCACTGGGTTTGCTGTGTTCAAAACAAGTGTGCTTTATCACCAAAGATAACACCAGAGCATGCTTTGAACTGCTCTGCCTGTTCCCGATGGGGCTGCAGGGTTTGTGCCACCCCGGGACCCCAAACAGACCTGTGCTCAGCATCACCATGTACCAAAACTTGTAGACAACACAAAAACCTCTCCTGGTTACTGCTGAGCAGAAGTCAGCAGGGACAAATCAATCCCTCGCCAGCGCAAGCACTGTTTTCATGTGTGTGCTCCCAAGGGTAGGGACAGGGAGAGAGAGGAAAAATACAAAACGGGGAAATATAAAAGCATCTTTCTTCTGAAGGAAAGTGTTTCCCACGGGATGCCAGAAAACACTTGGCCAGGAGAAAACTCAAAGGAGGATTTTGTCACAGGGAGACGGAGGGGGCCCTGCTGGCACCTGAGCTGGGCCCGACACGAGGCTGGAGGTCGGGGACGTGGCGCGGGCGAGGACAACTGCGGTTCATCCTCCCTTTGTTCTAAGGCAGAGCTACAAATTTAGCTCCCGGTCTGTAATTGCTGTTAGTGGCAGCTGATCTTCCTTCTGCAGGGGTGGCTCCAGGCCACAGTCCCCCCGCAGCAGCAGCCAAGGCGCTGCATTTTTAGCAGACTATGGCAGAGCCCTGCTGTGCCCTCCCTAAAGCTCCGGGGTTCGGGGGTTCGGGGAGGTTGAGGGCCCAGCCGCAGGGTGGACCCGCCACGGCTGCCACCAGGCCCAGCCCAGAGAGCAGATCCGCGCTGCGAGGCGGTGGAGACCCGGCTCATACTCACGTCCAGGTACTCATCCAGGCCAAGCTTGGTAAATTCGTACTGCAGGTGGACTCTGAAGTTCATGTCCTCCACCGAGTGGACAACGATGTTGATGAACTGCATGCAGGCCACCTGCAAGGAGAACCCCCGCACATGAGGAAGAGGCGGCGGCGCGGCCCCGGCTGCCCCCCGAAAGCCCCAGCGCAGGGTCCCCGCGGGCCACACACGGCCAGCGACCACATTTCCGTGTGGTTACTACCAGGGGAAACTGTGACCCACTACTGCAGCTTTTTTTTCCAAGCCAGTGTTGGATTTGAGCTTACGGCGTGTTTGTCTGCTGTGATAAAGGGAAACACAGGTTCCAGAAATTAAGTCATGTCTGCAGAGTCTACCTTTACTGCGTGTCAGTGAACAGAAACGCTTTCCATGCCAGCTCGCACGGCCAGACATCGTACAAGCACACAAGCTCTTAAGAAAACAATGCTGTTTCTGAAACGGCCTGTAAAAGTGAGATTAATTTTGCAACTGGAACCCCTCGCTTAGGAAACGGGACTTTCACAAAAGGCGCTTTGTTGTTTGCAGAAAGCATATTTCCAAAGCTGTGGTTTGGTAACTGAACCAGGGACCAGATCATAGGAGTTGGCGTCCAAACACGTCCGAGCACAGTGAAGGCAAGGAAAAGGCTCTTGAGCGAAGCAGGTCACGAGGAGAAGGAGCAGTGGGGGAAAACCTCCTGCAGAGTGGCAGGAATCAGGCTGCCAACCCCAAAAGGTTTGTCCTTTACTTGCATGTAAGGCACAGCCAACTCCTGCTCTGCACAAGTATCCCCAACCCTCCTTCTGCTCGCAGATGACCACGTCTGTCCCCCTCTGAGCTGCGTTAAGAGAGGGCTTGCCTAGTCCTTGCTGGGTTTTTCAAGGGCATAATCCTATCCTGCCAGCAATGCGACAGGATACCAAGCTTCTCAACATATCTGGGAAGCATCTCAGTGGTCCTAGAACAAATCTGAGAGAAGATAAAATCAAAGCAACCTGATTTTACCCTCAGGACAAGCCTCCAGGAGACCCCACGCCTCTGGGTCGTGTTGTGGGAAGCAAGAGCTGAAGGTGACTCTCTAGACTACCAGTTTATGACAGGAAATTGGCCAGTTCTCTGTGATCTGCCACAGGGCCCAGAGGATAAACCCGTGGGCAGGAATCTGCTGCCCGGTGGCCTCTGACTACAGGGCTGGCCGGGATGCCCCAGGCTGCTCCCTCCAGCAGCCGCTGAGCTGCCATAAAAATGTTCCTGGCTGCGCTGCCCGGTACTGTCCAGCTTTGGAACTGGGACCACAGGGACACAATGAGCCAAAATAGTTAAACAAAGGTCAGTCAAAAGCTTTCAGCTGCATCTTCCCATGGAGATCCTGACCAGTGTTAACCACTCTTTCCAAAATGACTTTCACTCTAGATAATGCAACGTTGTGAGACTGGTAACAGGGATCACCCCAAGGAAGAGAGGAAGGAAGATGGTCTAAAGACTCAAGTAGGAGCTCTGCATCCCCACATCTCTTACACCAACAACCTGATCCACACAGCTGGAAACAGAACTTCAGGTTTCGAGTCGCTGCAGGGCCCTTTCCAGTTCCTGTGGCAAACGCTGGTTCCTCCTAGTGCCAGTCGTGGCCAGCTGAACCCTGCTGTCCTCTCACACCACCCAGAGCCAAATTCCCCTATTTCAAAAGCACTGTTGTTGTACTTGCTTTGGCTCTCGCAACGTTAGGGCCAAATTCTCATTTCCTTTCTCAGATCCTTACATACACAACTAAGGAATTTATCAAGTCAAAGAAAACTAATCTAAGAAAGTTGCGTTTAAAATGAAGTAAGTCAATATCAACAACAGGAACCTTCTCCAAAATACTTCTGCGTTTTTGTTGCTCTTTCCTCCCTGTCGATCCATGCAAGTAACCGCAGCCCCTTCCAGCTAGTTCTGCAGACAGCTCTCCATTTAGGGCAGGGTGAAAGCCAGCTCCTGCAGGAAGAGCTCTTTGTTTATGTTCAGTCGTTGCAACTCCTTGAATTACTCGAGCTGTAGCGTTATGTCTTGGAGCCTGGGCTCCAGCATCTGTTTTATCCTGCCCTGTGGAGAGGAGAAACGTCCACCCTGGGCATCAGAGCAGTACGTGGAGGGGGCCAGAGGGTGACAGGAATGAGTGGATCTGACAAATTATTTGTCATGAGCTCTCTCTTCCAGCTTTAGGCTTGTCACACAGTCAAGCCCTTAGCTGGTGGAAGCAGCCAGTGGATTTTCTTATAGGGTGTCCAGTTGGATGCCAAATATTCACAGCTCACGGGGCTTGTACAGACACACACACAAGGGCATGTTCCCTGTTATATCCTTACAATACACCATTTCGTATCTTAAATAAAGACAAGGGATGATTTTTTTTAAAAAAAGAGCGGACACATCGCGCTGCTCACAGCGAGGTGGCTGGCTGCAGGCTGCTGTCACGGCCTTGCTTCCAGCCTGCCCTGAGCTGTGCTACTCTCCTGCTCCCCAGATATGATCACCCCTCCCTGTGAGCATGGGAAAAATGACTAAGAGTCGCGTGTTGAGGACTGACAAATCTCTCTGTTAAATCACAGACTAAACTGTATGTACATCTGAGAATACTAATGTATACTGTGACCACCAGCATGTCCTTACTGGGACTGCAGTAATAAGGAACCAAACCAACAACCAAACATGTCGGAGAGTTACTGAAAGCAGCCTGCTAACATGAGTAAAATTGCAGGGATCGCTGTAACTTTTTTAAAAAAAAACCCAAACAAATAAGAATGAGGCCATCCTATCTCACGCACACCACCTCCTTGTTATTCTGCTGTCTGCTCCAGGGTGTGAGCCTGCCCTGGCCATCGGGAGTCTTCAAAGCCTGTGGGAAACACCACGCCAGGTGCTTTAACACCTAATTCCTGGCAGACAGAGGTCTTTAACACAAAGCCCAGCACTAAAACAGTATAAAGTGTCACAGATGCTTAACAGAGGCCTCAGCAGACCGGCCAGAGTGACCAGGTGGGAAGCCTTCCTGCTCTGCTCTCACCTCAAAACAATCACATCAGATCCGAGGGACTGAGCACGAGCAGCGCAAGGGAGACCACACTGACCATGCCAGCACTGGTTTTCTAATTAAAACCAGGACTTGAAACTTCTCATGCTCCTGCTACAAGCACTCCCTTGCCACAGACTTTAAAGAAGTGGACACAGAAGTATTTCTGATATCGGACACGTAACCAGCTGGCTCATCCTTAGTGCCACGAGCTCTGCCTTTCACGTGGTGCCGCCGTGCAAGCTGGCGCTGGGGTCTGGGGGTGCCAGCCACAGCTTCCTCTCCCGCCGTTCTCTCTTGTGCTCCAGGGGAAGTGGATTTGGTGAATAATCATGCATATGGAACCAGAAGTGGTGCAAACGACAGCTATATTTATCAGCAGATAAGGACAGACAGCAGCTGCAGCGAGTCTGTCCCACACTTCCCTGTCTGTGACCCTGAGGATGCTGGCGCACGGACATCACACGCATCTTGATGTTGCAGAAGCTGCAAGTGAAATAGCACACGGGACCAAATGGCCACTTTCCTCTTACCTTCACTACGGTTCAAGGCATTTCTTGAACTGAACGGAAGCTAAAAATGAAACGCACATTATGTAGTGTGTGATATAAAATAACGGTACTGTGGTAATTTTAGACCAAGGATCAGGAGGCAGAGAAATCTCTACAATGGCAGGACCGGACACTAAACACTGAACCCGAAGTTTGCTGATGGTAGACAGCACTCACCATGAAGTCAATGTTGTTGTCTTCATTTCGGAAGTGCTCCATCAGCTTCTCAAAGCGCTGTTTCTCTCCACATACCTACAAAAGAATCACCACGTGTTTGTTAAACTACAGCTTGCAGGAGAGAGTACGAAAACCATTTAAAAAGCAGCTCATCTGCTTGCTCAAAACCTCTCCGTCCAGGATTCCTCTCTTGTTAAAAATATTCTTCTTCATGACAAATCCAGCAGGGCAATCACAGGTGAACACCTGCAAGTCTACAGGGTCAGGTACAATTATAACATTAACTCTTTGTATTTCTTTTTCCCCCAAAAATTAATCACACCCTCTGATGGTAAAAATGTAAGCAAGAGTTGCACTGCACCAGGTTATGCCATGGGAAGACTCGGTCTCTCACCATTCGGAACTGGCTTTCCACTGCAATATAATGTAATTAGGAAGAACAATACATTACAGGGAAGAAAAAAAAAAAATTATCACCGGTTAAATGAGGAGTGAAACACATCAGTGTAACTATCAGCTGGTCAGAATTACAGAGCCATAATATAGGGGTGTTGGCGAGAAACACAAGCAACTTGAGGGAGAAATAAGATTAAAGATAAAGCAGGTCTCAGGATATTGTTTAAATCTTATTACTTCCCAGTAGCTTCTCTGGCTCAGTCCTACTTTCCCCAGCACACAAACGATCTGGAGTAATCCACGCCAAAATCACAAAATATTAAATAAGTTGCAAAGCGAAAGGGAGCGGAGGTGAGCACCAGGACGTGCACCCGTTTCCCTGCTAAGCTGTCCCCAGCTTCGCCCTCCTCAGATGTTGGCTGTTTGCAGAGGGACAGGAGAAGCTCCCAAAGAAGCTGGTTTGTTCTTAAAGGTCCTGAAAAGCAGGGTCTGGTCATCTGGAGGACTGAAACCTCCCTTCTGCTGAGGAACAAAGCCCTCAGTGAGCCCAAGAGGCTCCTTCCTTCCTCAACCCGACCTGGCCCTGTGTCCTGGGTGGGCTGGGTGCCACCAATCAGGGGCTGGGACACGGCAGCGGGACCTCCGACCCGACCCGTCCCTGGGGGGGCCCGTCACCCGGCCAGCAGCACTCCCCTCTGAGACATCAGCTGCTCCTGCCCCGAAGAACCAGCTCGTGGCACGGTAGTTATGTGGAATTAGCCAACGAATGGTAATTAAGGATTGGCGGGAGCACTGGCTACTTCTTCTGTAGAAACTCTCAGGCAGCGGCCGGTTCTTTGTACATATTTCTACATTTGTGTCTCCCACAAGGAGGCCAAATCCCCAACTGGGGTTTTTAGATACTCCCCAAAAGCAAACTGTTCACAAAGCATGCATGATTATTCCTATCCCCACATCAGCTTTCTCTTTCTCAGTGCCTACACTACAGCGTGTACCTACACAAAGATTAAGGCACCCAGCAGACTGCACTGAAGCCACACAGAGTTGAGCGGGACCTAAACTGAGCTGATCTCGGGATCTGCAAAGCACTGTGAGTAGGGGCCTGCTGGGTGACCTCTCGCCACGCTTTCCACTGTCTGTTATGACTGAATAAAACATACTTGTGGTGTATGTGATACATCTTCTGTCATTCCTAAGCAAAACTGCCACAACTGGGTCATTACTCAGATATTTGTGGTCAGTACCTGACGTCAATGGGAATTCTGCCACTGAGTCTCTGCGAGAGGACGGGGACACTGGTTACGATGAACTATTTGATAACATTACCATCAATATTCATGGCCACAATACCACAAATTGCAACTAATGGGCTCTGAGCAGGCTCAGCGACCCCCACTTGCACAGCCTCTGGTAGGCAGGGCGCTCAAAGCACACACAAATGCTTGCTCAAGTTGTATTTAAATGTTTCCAGCTGAACCTTAAGAGACTCACAAGGTAGAATAGAAAGGCTTAAACAACAAAGCATGCACCCTCCTCGTGAAAAACAGATTACACTTGTTGGTCAAGCAAATTATCATGACCTTAACCCAAAGGACTCGGCTCTCTCCACAGCCTATGCTGTGAAAGTGGTTTTAAAGCATTAAATGCCTTTATGTGGGTTCTACACCAGGCTGGTAAAGCACACATTAAGGTTTAAGATAGGGTAAGACAGAGCCCAGACAGATCCACTTGTGGATGGAGCAAATCTCTTTGGTATCACCTGGCCAACAGCTGCACAAGGGGTGAAGCACGTTGTGGTCCTCGGAACATGGAAAGGACGGGTGAGTTTGTAAGGCCCCTACTATTCAGCTTCAGGTTGTAAATCTTCTGCCTAATCTCGGGGTTTTTTTCAGGAGTAACCCTCATAAAGCCTCCCTACAGCGTCAGGAACGGCCTTGCTGGGAGATGAAAGCCCAAACGCTGCACAGACGTTGCTCATGGTCGGAGCAGCGAGGTGAGGCATCCCGCCCCGCTCTCCCGCTCGCCGCAGCCAGCTCCAGGAACCATTTTGTGGCAAAGCAGCTCAAGTTCATTGAACGCAGAACAATGTGACCCACTCTGGGCACTCACCATGAATGTCCTACCAAGGGCGCCCCAAAAGCGGGGTGCAGCCCACAGGCCTAGAGCTCAGCTGCGCTGTAGCCCCCTCCCGGGACACAAACGCTTCCACGCAGGAGCAACTCGGCCTTCAGGAGAAGGGACGAAACGCTGCGAAGAGGCCGGCCTCCGTCAAGAAGAGCCAAATTGAAAACCAGAATCTGGCCGAGTTTCAGGAACCGACCGGCACTGTACGGATCAAAGGCGGCAGCTGCCCGCCGATATAATTTGATTTTGGAGGCGTGCGCTGGGCCCGATCCAGCTCCTGCTCAAAGCAGACCCAAAGAGCCCTCTCCTTCACTTGCACCACAGGCTGCTTAGATACACTCATCCCTACATTATTATCCCAAGCCATTTTTTTCCTACTATAGTAAATGGGGCAGTATTTCAGCTCAACCAGCTTCTTCCAGCACTCTCTGCACTCTCCCCTCCCCACAAAACTGTTAGGAGTCAACACAGCAAAAGAAAAAAAAAAGTAGGCTCATCTACTTTGAGCTCTGAACAATCGCATCTCTCTTGCAGCCACTCAAGAAAAAAATAGAGTAATTTAAACAAAATCACATATCGTGGAAACCAAGGTAACAACGGTGCATATGATCGCTCAAGAGCAAAAGCCAGAAGGATGATTTCTGAACAATCTAATGTAAACTGTTCCACATGGATGAGAAAAGCTGACATAAACAACTACAAGCCATTTATGGCTGACTAATTAAATTAAGGAGCAACCCAGAGTGATAGAGCCCCAGCAGAGAAGTGCCGATGCCAGGACGCAAGCAGCCCTGGCTGGCTGGGATACAGCAGCTGATAGCAAGAGGAAAAGCAACAACCTGCGGCTTTTGGTGGCTGCTCGCAGATATTTCACACTATCATCAGATGAGTCAGTGCTGGGAACATGTGTGTTTCAAGAGACAGCGAGCTGACTTTCATGAAATGATATAATTTATCCTGGAAGATTAAAGAGAGTGAAACTGTAGATGAAGCCTACAGCCTGAAGATTGGCCAAAATCCAAGACGAATGCTGAAATCAAATCCCACCACATAAAACCATATGTTGCCGTTTATATTTGAATAAATTTCCAAGGTCTGTCATTTGAAAGTATGGCTGGGACTAAGAAAGGCTGATCTTTCTTTTATTAGCATTATTCTGTGTAAGAAGCAAGATTAAATGAGTTACCACAGCTATAAAAAGTCTCTACTTAGGCTGTGAAAAAAAAACTTTTTAGGTTGCATTATGCCCACGTCATTCTAGAAGAACAATATGGCTTTATGGAAAACCACCCACAAAGGATCCTTTCTCTGGAAAGGCTTTGGGTGCTAATGAAGTAAACCCATCACAGACCTATTACAAAGGTACAATACAATCCTATAAGGAAGCAAAAGGCTCCATTATGAAAAATTTAGTGATGATTATATCCATATCCACCTGGCAATGCTCTCCGGTCACACAGTTCACATCCAGACCACCCAAGAGCCAAGTTCAACTCTCACAACACTCATGTTGCTCCTGCTCATGTAGCTGGATTACTGTAAGATTCTCCGGAAAGGCAACCTGGGTATTTTGGAAAAACTGAAGATGTTTTCATGTGCATCACCCTCCCACCTCAGTTACCTAATGCCACAAAGTACCACCTCATTTTGTTGGAGGATGGAACTCATAACTAAAACCTCGCCACAAGCAAATACAGCGTGTTCCAGGCGGAGACGGCAGCGAACACAGGAGCCAACACAGGCAGGATTTCAGGGTTTGGAGCTGTAGCTTGTTGGCCAACGGTGCAGAAGGCGCAGTGTGGGGCACGGCTGCCAGACCACTATCTCCTCCACATCTGGAGGGGTGACACTCCTACGCCTGAGAAGAGTGCCCTGTCCAGGCACAGCAACTGCCTCGGTGCAGCGTCCGTCTGTCAGCAGAGGCGGGGAGAGATGACAGTTCATGGTAGAAAAGGCATCAGTAAGCTCACCAACTCACCAAATGTCCCTCTGCCAGGAAGCAGATAACACCCTGGTGGTCTCCAACGCCACACAGAAAATGAAATAATTCCGTCTGCATTGACACTCAAGGTCTGGCACGGCAAAGGCAGCCAGCAGTGACCTCAGGGCAGGGAAAACTATCCTCTGAAGGACCAACTCTGAAATACCTAAACCTCAGCAAAGGCTTTGCAGTACAGGACATTTTCTGTCTGTGCAAACGTTAAAATGACCATCTAACCATGTGCTGCCCGAAGGTTGGTTGAAGCTGCTCCCTCCTCCTTCATTCCCCTTTCGAGGTCTGGAAGAGCGAGAAGCGGTAGCACGATTTCACCGAAAATATGTGCTGTGTACATGAACGCAGCCCCTGCTGGGCACTGCGTTAGAAATAGCCCGATGTATATGCAACCCAAAAATTCATGGGACCCTTTGTGAACCTTTTCTCCTGTCTGTGCTCCTTTGTCCGGCGGCACAATGCCGGCTTTCTCTCCCCCACAACAGCCCACTGTGATCAGCAGATCCCACCACCGGCAAGCAGCACTCCACAGGAACACTTTGTTTGGACTGATCATGCTGAC